ATAATGCCTTTTACTTTAAATTTAAATGTTATCTGAGTTTTAGAGAAAAGTGTTGAAAAACACTAGGAGTCGCGCCAAAGAGCATTAAAAGCTGACAGAACAACCCTGATCGGCAGAAGGGGTTTGTCACTGTTAGAGCTGCAATACTCATTCTGCAGCTCTTGAGTCACATGCAGCTCTTCAGATACTGGAATGTGGCTCTCTTCCCAGGTTTGAGTGATGCCTTGACAATCAGGTAGCTATTGCCTTACATGGCAACACCACTGTTTTAGGGTTCTAGCTTTAGCTCCATTAGCAGAGAAAGATTAAAGTATGCTTATTTTACTGCTGTTATGTTGGTCTACAAGTATACTGATCAGCTGTTGCTCACAAATACTTGTGCATGTCTGACTCAATTACTCTACAAGGTGCATCTCTACCCTGCCTTCTGTGTCTCATGTTATAATTATATTATAAACTTTTGTAGGTGTCTGCAGCTCCATTCTAACTTGTCTTGTCCCACTAAAATTTGCCAGCTTTTGAACACTGAACTTTTGTCCCTGTGGGCATGTGGATTTGAGCACTTGTGTAACGATTTAACTTTGAGTGAGTCAAAAGATTTTTTTATTTGAAGGTGAAGACTGGTGCACATGGGACTTTTACAGGCTGATCCAAGGCCAGATGGGCTCAATGGGAGTCTTGCTACTGATTGGCAAAGTGGAGGAGGGAGGGATTGTAGAAAAATGGTGCTGAACTTTTACTTTCCCATTTTTTAAAAAATGTTCAATATTTTTGTCAAAGTGAGCTGACCAGGTCTACTGAAAATGTGGTGTACAACTTGCACTATAAGGCTGTGGACCCACGAGTGCTTGGATGCCTTTCACAAGGGGGAGCATTTCAAAATGGCAGCAGCTGGTACAATCTCATTGTTATGTGTGAACAAGCTGAGAATGAATCAAATGCAACCAGATTGATCCAGATTTACCCCTGAATGAAAGATGATGCAAGTTCCTTTTTTGAAAGGGCTCCAAGTATTTGCATGTCCATATTGTAAGAAAAGTATTAATGAAATTAAGAGTTTCTCCATGAAGACTTAGTCACAACCATTTCCTTTATTTATTTTAATTTGTTTTTGTAAATCCTGGAAAAAGCATTGTCTTCCCACCTTTCCTATTCCCAACATTTTTTGTATTGTTATCCCAACTCTGTCTACATCTGGGTATTGATAAAATTCACCATTACTGCAGTATCAGAGCAACTCCCAGTTATTTTTGGTGTTCTTTTCACAACTTTCCACTTCCTAAGACCAGGAAGTATTAATTCCTTCTGTTTACACATGGGGAACAAGACTACACAGAGAAAAACAGTACTTGCCTACAGTCAACCTGAATTCTTGTGATTCTTGGTCTAGAGCATAGGATATAATTTTCCTCTACCAGCTACTATAGAGTGTGATCCTTCCAACATTACTCCTACACCTGCCCCACTGACTGCAGCAGAATTACCCTCATATTTTAAGACTAATCATTTGAGTATCGTCCCTACTTATAGTGATACTATGTTATGGAGGTGTTGAACACCATTCTCACAATGCCAGGCTGGTCAGCCTCTGTTCCTCTGTTCAGTTTTCCCTCAAAAATCTTCAGATTTGTTCATGCTGGGCTATAGATATACATAAAGTTATTTCTTAGCCCTCCTTAAATACCTTCTTAAAATTCACCTCTGCTGTGATGCTTACAAACCACTCAACTGTCCCAGGCCACTAGTGTGCTGCTTCTGTTACATAATCATGGGCGGATCTAGGATTTTGAAAGGGGGAGTACAGATCGTGTGGCATACGATCACCTTATAACACAACAGATATTTTTCTAGTTAAAGAGAAATTAGATACTTTACTAATATATTAGGGGGCTCATACTACATTATTCAGTTTAAGATCAAATAAAAAACAAATATGACTACTGGACTGTGCACTAATTTGCTAGATTACAGATAAAGTTAAAAAAACACAACAAATGAAGCAAAAAATTGTCACAAGATATTATATAATTAGTCCTGTAATCATTATACTTAATTGTATGTCTCTTCAGCTTTGTAAAACAAAATCTAGCTTAACTTGAGTGTCTTGACAATACCTCCAATACTTCACTGTCAGTTATTTCTAATAGTAACCTGAGTTACTATTATCACATGGGAGTTAAAGTTTTTAGCTAGAGCTCAGGAGAATCTGCAAGGCTGTGACATACAAGAGAGAATGAAGGGGAAGATAGAAGAGGAATGGCTGACACCAAAATTTCAGAAGACAGTTTGTACAGTGGAACATCAAGACCATTAAAAAGGAGAGAGGGTCATTAATACCTGTGTTGTGGTGAGTGATTAACAAGAATCAGGGAGATGATGATGAGCCATGAACTGAACTGACTTTCTCAGTACTGCCTGAATAGAAATGCTGCTGCTCTTCCCAGGCAGTTGGTTTCAAAGGTTGGGTGGAGCAGGAATTAAAGGGGGCAGGCCTCCTAGCTCATTCCTGTTTTTAATGCTACAGTTCAGAGCTTCTTCCTCTCCACTGTGCCAGTAAAGGGGGAGTTTATACCCAGCTTCAGCACTCCATCTCCTCAACCTTTGATGGTAGTGCTGGTCCGCAGGTAGCCCAGCAGGTTGGGCTCTACATGGTTTCCCCTTGCACTGCCTGTTGCAAGCTGGATTCCAGGTTGGCTCCTTTTGCCCCTGATGTCTGGTACAGCCTCCTGGGCCACTGACTCCCGTAATGTCACAAACAACCCAGTCATGTAATCCTTGTTTGGTCTTGTTATGTTTCGTGCCCCCATTACTCCTACTGTTAGGTTGTCCCTGAGCTTCAGTTCTTTATTCATTAGAAACTATCTTTAAAACTTTAAACCTGATACCTCTTTCTTGAGCCAGCATTTTCCTTGCTCTTCTTCCTCCCTGGGATTTAAGGGGTTTACCCTCCATGCATCCCCCTCCCCTGCTAGATTTAAAGAGAGCAGCCTGCATTCAAGTCTTCATTTTGTTAGCCTAATAATTCACATCTCCTCCTGTCAGCTAGCTTCAAAATTCTCCTGGTCATTTTAGGAGCTCTGCACGGCATCATTCCAGGTTGAATTCAACCTCCTTCTACTACAATGTATGACCACAACTATACACAGTATCCCGGAAAAGGTTGTATCACTACCTTTCCATAAAATCACATGCATCTTATTCACAGCCCCACCACACTAGTGGCTCCTAGTCATCCTCTGACCAATTAATAAACTAAGAGATTTCCCTCCACCCATCTCTGTTGCTACAAGCCGATAAACCTCCAGCTCACAGCAAAGATTTTCGGGTTGTTAGTGCATGGCCTTCCACTTTGTACGGCTAAGTTTCAACCTATTTCTATTATTCGTGTCCTCAAGGTCATCTAATTCTTCCTGCACAATGCTCTGATCCTTTTCCATAACGGCCGTGTCTCTGGATTTTATGTTGCCTACACATGTCATTATCTTACTCCTACTTTCTATGCTTGAGCCATTAAGAAAAATTTGAAATAAGGTTGGTTCCCAGACCAGTCCTTGAGGACCTTCACTAATAACCTCCCTTGAGTCCAGGATTTCCTGTTTCATTACAACCCACTGTAGACAGGCCAGTAGCCAATTCCTTTCCCAATTTATAAGGCTTGCCCTAATCCCCACCTTCTTCCTCTTAATAATTTCTCCCAGGGCACCGCATCAAATGTTTTACTGACGTCCAGAGCAGTTTGACAGTCTGCATTTTCCCTGCAGGCGATTGAAGCCCCTACTCCTCCAATGTTGTGAGCAAAGGCTCTTGACAATCAGTGGAGCCCTGACTGGGGCAGGCACCTCCTCAGAGCTAGTGTGTCAGGCCCTGCACAGACTCAAGCAGCTGTCATGGTGCCACTGACTTGGTGGGGGATTATGCCCATAGACATAGAGGCTGGAAGCTGATTTTGTGACATATCAATTCTGGGCTTTGGGAGCATGTGGCCGGGGCAATGGGGGAGGGAGGGGGGACATCACGTAGCCCCAGGAGCTGGCTGGGGGCACCCTTCTTATGGGCAGCAACACTGACAAAGCTGCCTGCAGGCAGGTGGGAATCTGGGCAGCATGGCTCCCTTTCTGCCCCTGATGGGCACTTGCCCATGCAGGGGGCCACTTGCTGCCTGGGGTCTTCATGGTTGGGGGGTAGGGTGGCTTGACTTCTCCCTACAGATGAGCCCTGCCTGAGGGGCAGTGTTGCCACGTATATGGTAATTTTCTTATTTATATGATAATTTCAACCTTGTATGAGGTATGATCAATAATAGTAAGTGTTCAAACGTATGCTATTTTTGGAGGCAGCTCATTGATGCAACAGATGCAAAACCCAAATCATTCTTGGGGAGGGGAGTCTTAACTGATTTCCAGGCTTGCTGTCAGCACCTCCTTATAACTGCTTGTGTCAAAATAAAGAAATGCTTCAACTTTAAAGAGCATCTAAGGACACATGGGTGGCAGGGGCTAGTGTGAGCAGCAGAGATCCTGGTTTTCTTTGATTAAAAAAACCCCAATCCACATTTTTCTGTGCTTAAAATGAAACCCGCCTAAGAGATCAATCAATTGATCTATCAGTATCTATTGAGATATATCTATATGTATAAAGAGTAATCCCAAATCCACATTTTTCCATGCTTAAAATGAAACACCACTAATCTATCTATCTATCTCGATAGATAGATAGCTAGATAGATAGATTGATTAGTGGTGTTTCATTTTAAGCACGGAAAAATGTGGATTTGGGGTTACTTTTTTAAAGCCAGAGATTGGGATTCTTTTTTAAACCAGAGAAAACCAGGACCCCTGGTGAGGAGACTGTGTGGGGGCGGGGAAGGGCGTGAAAGGTGCCCTCAGTGCAGAAGGAATTCGGAGGAGGCGGGGCCTGCGCCAGGCTCTCGTCTCCATGGCGACGGGGCGGCAGCGACAGCGAGACGGCACTTCCGGGGTTGGCCCCGCTGCGCGGCGCCTGCCGGGAAGCGTCGCTTAGGACACGGGCGTAAACAACACGGGATGCGTAGGGTGCCGCTGGCGGCTCCCGCCGGAGAGGGGTTGGCTTCGCGCCCCCCGGGTGGTCATGACGAGCGGCTGGGCGGGCTCCAGCTGTGCCTGCGGGACTGGTGAGCCGCGTCAGCACCTCCCTGTCCGTCTGTCCTCTTCCCCTCCCCTCGGGGTAATGTCATGTGTGGGACGTCATGTGTGTGACGTCATGCCACCTTTGCTTCACTTCATGGGGGCTCTGGGAGCCCTTCAAGAGGGGTGATGCCCCAGCTGCGGCCCCACAGCTGGGGAGAGCAGGGTGGGGGGACCTATAGGGTCAGCTGCCTGCCTGGGTCTGGGTCTCTTCAGTGCTGTCCCAGGGCTGGGCCTGACCAGAGGGGTGCTGTGGATGGGGAGGGCTGGGGCTGGCCAGGAGCTGGGGTGTTTGTCTGGGACCCTGCTGTGCATTGGGTGGGGGCAGGCAGGGGTGGTACCTGCAGGTTGCGGTGGTGTGGGCACACCCTATGCCCTGCTGTGGCAGGAGCCAAAAAGGGGGTATGCAGAGGTGAAGCATCAGGTGAGAAGATAAAGATGGCTTGGAGGGGAAGGCTGCCATCCTTGTGTGCCTCAGTGTGGGTGGCTGTTGGGAGCCAAGCAGGCAGGGTGGTAATAAACCCAAGAAGCCTCCTTTTTTGAAGAGTTGTAATATGACTGAAAACATTTTGATTATGGGGCTGGCTTAAAACTTTGTGTGCAGGTGTTTGGCCATAAGCTCCCTGACAAAGTCTCTGAGGATGCCACTTCTTCTGTTGCTTACTCTTTATCCTATTTTCTCAGGCAGCTGTGTTGCTGTGAGCTGCAAAATCCTCATTTGGGCTGTTAAATTTGTTTATTTGTTGTTTAGCTTCTGCAACTGCTGCCACTTTTGTGAGACCTGGGCTGGTGCCACTGAGTGACTTCAGCCACTGATATTCTGATGTGTTTAAAGGATGTGCTTTTGTTTGGCATTATTGTCACAATGTTGCCTTGCATTAAACAAAAGAATCTGAAACTGATGTTTTGAAAACAGACAGAGGCCTTGTGTATGCATGGTTCTCTCCCACATATAAGAATAATTAGTGCATAAATTTAAAAGGTAACTTTAGGTGCCTTCAGTTTTTCAGGGCAAAACTGAGTTACTTTAAAAGATGTTTAACATTTTTCAGAAAGCACTAAGAGGCTTAATGTGAAACAGGATCCAGTAAGAGGTATCCCAGACAGCTAGTGACTGTCTCCAGGTGTGTCAAATGAGTTGTTGTTTTTAGTTCATAATGCATCTATATGACAGGAATCACCAATGTAATTAGTGTTAGTGTCCTTTTCTGGACGTGTTCTCTTTTTAAATGGAAGCTGAAGAATTCTTTTGAGGATATTGTTCAATAATACTGATAGAGTGTTACAGGGAATTTAGTATGCTTCTATCTATGCTGTACCTGTTCTGTGGCTAAGGCAGAGGACGTTAGTTTCTGTCTCTTTGCCAGCAGTTTGCGCTCGCAGAATTACTTAAAAAACATTGCTCATTCTTTATATGAAGAACAAGTGTTCTTCAAACACTGTTCTTTGTATGAAAAAGGTCAAGTTATTCTCAAAGTGATTCTCACTCATTTTCCCCAATAGCATGCATCCAGCTTGGGGTTGGAGGACACCACACAAATAGGCAGGTTATGCACAGCCTGTTGTGTTTGTACTGCAGCTGGTGGTGCCAGCAATGGAAGTGCCCTGGGTGTACTGGAGGATGGTCCTGGCCGACATCACCCATATTAGGGATCTCCTGGACTATGCTAAGCAGAGGTGGGTAGATCCTTGTGAATGGGGCTGCCCATGCTGTGTGTTCCCTGCCTTCTACTCCAGGAGGTCAAGGCTGCCCTGCCACCCACTGGTGTTACCTACATTGACCAGGTCCTGCACAATAGCAGTCCATCCTCCACCCCCATGTCCCCCAGCCCTCCAGAGTTTGTCATGCGGCCCCTGCCTTGGAAGGGTCCATGGCACTCCCTGTCTCACCATCTTAGCAGGTTGGGGGACACCAAGCCAGTCTGCTTTCAAACCATCCATTGCCAGCAGCTCTACACACTCATGCTCCACCATTCACCATCCCATCCTCATGTCTCACCCAGACAACAATTGACAGGACACTTTAGATGGAGGGTGAGGGTTCCTGGTAGAGGAGTCTGTACTCTACTTTGATCCCGCAAGCCATTGGGGACCTCAGCTGGTGGCTTTTCCACAGCGCTGTCGCTACAGGCATGTATCTGGCATGGTTCATAACTGCTCCTGACACCTGCCCCTTCTGTGAGCAGAGGGAGACCCTACCACATGTCTACTTGAAATGCGCCAGGCTGCAGCCCCTGCACCACCTCTTGCAGAACCTTTTGCTGAGGTTCTTGGCTGCACTATTCTGCTCACCACTTCATTTATGCACACCCTGTCTATGTCTCTACCAAATCCTGGGACCTCCTGGAAACCTCCTCCTGGATCTGGCCAAGCTGGCTGTGTATCTGACCAGGAAGGAGGCTGTGGCTGGGAGGGTCCCTGGGGACTGTGGGGCCACTTTTCTTGCCCTTGTTCATTCCTGTCTCCAAGCAGAGTATTGCTGAACAGTATCCTCTGGCTCCTTGGACTCATTAAAAGGCCAGTGGGCACTGTCCAATGTGCTGTGCTTGGTGTCCCCCCCTTGGCACTCTTGTTATGAACCTTTGACCTCCACTCCTGTCTCTGTTTTCATTATTTGTCCCAAGTACTCAGTTGTCACCTTTCGTGTAGCCTCCCTGCCTTAGGGAGGCCAATAAGTTACTAGGTGGGCTTTGGCTCATACCCCTTAAGGTGACAAATAGGCCTGTCATGTTTGTGGATAGGAGAAACAAATATAGGTCTGATATCTTTGTTGTACTGAAGTGATTAAAGATAATCGTACAAGTGGCAGGGGAGAAAACCTGAATATTTGATGTAGCATAGATAGTTAGATAATTCTTAAATATTTCATAGTTCTTTATTTTATTTTGTTTCATCCCTATCACATAGTCACTATATAAACAGAAGCTGTTGACAGGGGGGGCATCTACACGTGAGCTTTACTGTGGAGTTGACTAATTAGCCCTTCAGTAAAGCATCACCATCTACACGTGTGGCATTATGTTGCAGTAAACCGATCATCTCCGCTGTAGGTTAGTACTGTTCTGGTACTTTCCTATGGTGGAGTTTAGTGTGCTGTAGCGCATGTGTAAATGGTGACCAGGGCTGGTTGGGCACTAGGGTGCTACAGTGCAGTGGCTTCCTACCAGCTAGACACATACTGTAGCACCCTTGTGCCCCAGCCAGCCCCTCTGCAGCACGTTGAGCTGGGTTGGAGCAGGCTGGGGTTGGCAGGCTGAGCACCACCCCAAGCCTGCAGGGCTGCGCTGCCCCTGGGCTGCGCTGCCATGGCTCAGCGTGCAGTGGACCCGGGCATACGTGTAAATGGTGTGCCGGAGTTTATTCAGGCTCACTGTTTCATGTGTAGATGCACCCAGTACGTATTGTCCTAGCTGTTCCTGGGATAAGAAAACTTGGTTTATGATAATGAAATGTAAAGGAAAAGCAAAGGTCAAAATACATGTGAAATTGCATATTGCTGTTCTACTTTGTGGCGTGTTTGAATGGTTATCCCCAGGTGGGGAAGCAGGGTTATGCCTGCTTTAGGAGGGGAAGCAGGCATTTTACTTAAAGGAAGGCTAAGAATTACCGAGTCAAAGAGTATGATAGGTGGGTCCACTTAGAATTTAGGATACGTTGTCTTTTAAAACTATGAGCTTAATCTGGCAAATTTACTGTTCCAAGTAATCTCATTAAGGTTAATGGGACTATTTGTATATCGACATTGCAGATTCAGCCCCTAGTTACATTTTGCTCTAAAGCTTTTAACTTTCAGGAGAAACAATCTTTTTTTGTCTCAAAGTGGAATTGGGATTGAAGTCTGTTATAAAATCTCTGGGGAGGTCTCTTCTTTCCCCACTCAGAGTTCTGTTTTCAGTAATTTGCTATCTAGATTTATTATAGATATCTTGATGCAAAAAACAGTTTTAATGTATACTGACAGTCAATTTAGGGTTTCCAAAAAATTTTATCTTCTGAATTATTTGTAATGCCTGTGTCAAGATTTGGCTGGAATAGTTTACTTAAAAATAATCTGTTATTTGGGTAGTTGCTGATTAATGCCAGGACTCTTGACAGATAGTTGTGGGGTGGGGGCGGGAGTTGATAGCATAATTGACTTAGACTTCTAAATTACTTTTGTAAATGGGACTTATTTTCATTTGGAAAGCAGATTAAGTTATTTATTAGTTACTCAGCCACCTTTACAAAAGTTACTTAGGCACTTAAGTCACTTTTTAAAAGTGCTTTTTGTACCCGTAGTCACTTAAGTGCATTTGTAAATTTTACCTATTCTATATTTTTTAAAACTTACTAGTTGAATTAATCAGTGGTAACCAGTTTCAGCATTCAGTTTTATGTGAATGTTATTCTGTTTAAAATGCACAGCATTTAGTAGTTGCAAAAGATATTATCTTTGGTATTTTTGAGGTACTCCTCAAAAATCTCATCAGGCACTTATGTTGTATGCTCCAGAAACTAGCTACCTGAAAATCTTAATAGGTGCATATGTACCAAAATATGCTTACAAATCTAACCAATGTAAGGCTGGTTTGAAAGTACAGTATGCTTTTCAATAGAATGGAAGGCTTGGCTTTGCTATTGTGTTTTCATAGAATCAAAGAAAATAAGGGTTGGACCTCAGGAGGTCATCTAGTCCAACCACCTATTTAAAGCAGGAGCATCCCCAGCTAGGTCATTCCAGCCAGGGCTCTGTCAAGCTGGGCCTTAACCCTGAAGAATGGAGATTTTGCCACCTGTCTGGGTAACCTGTTCCAGTGCTTCACCACTTTCCTAGTGAGAGAGTTTTTCCTAATATCTGACCTAAATGTCCCTTGCTGCAACTTGAGACCATTGCTGCTTGTTCTGTCATCTGCCACCACTGAGAACAGTCTAGCTCCATCCTCTTTCATGGTTATAACAAGTTGTTTTTACTAGCAAATGTATGTAAATGTAAGAAGTGTATATGTCC